CCACACCTAACTTCGTATTACATTTATAAATTTGCTGTCAATCTCATGCTAAAAGACTTATGCTCCACAATAGCAGATACCATTCTCTCTACCGCTGTGTCTGAGATCTGAAATTAGTGCCTGGGGGTTATTACTGTTAGGGTTGGGATCTGCAGCAGCCCCATCCCCAACAGGGCCTCAGGGTTTTGCAAGCCCCTGAGAATGCAGGACCTGAGTTAATGAGCACCCTGGTCTTTGAAGACAAGATAAGCAGACTCTATGCACCTTTTAGATAATTATTTATTTATTCATTCACTTTGGTTATTTGAGACATGGTCTCTCTAGTGCCTCTGACTCATCTGGAACTCACTATGTAGACCAAGCTTGGGGCAGTCCTCCTATCTCTTTTTTAAAAAAATATTTTATTTATTATTTTTACTTTATTTTATGTGTATGAGTGTATTGCCTGCATGTGTATAAGTGTACCCATGTTGTGCAATGTCCAAGGAGGTCAGAAGAGGGCGCTGAATTCCCCAAACTGGAGTTAGGATGATTGTTAGCTGCCATGTAAGTGCTGGGAACAGAACCTGGGTCCTCTGTAAGAGCAGTGAGTGTTCTTAACCTCTTAACGGCTGAGCCAACTCTCCAGCCCCAACTGTCTCTTTAGCGCTGGGATTACAGACATGCATCACCACATCTGACCATAAATATATTTAAATTAAGAAGTAAGCCAGGCTGGTGGTACTTGGGAGGCAGTGGCAGGCCGATATCTGTGAGTTTGAGGCCACCCTGGTCTACATAGCAAGTTTCATGCCCGCCAAGTGAGATGCTGTCTCAAAAAACAAAACAAACAAAAAAACAAGTGATGGTTAGAACTGAGAGATAGCTCAATGGTTAAAAATACTTGGGTTCAGTTTCCAGCACCCACATTAGGTGATTCAAAACCTCCTGTAGCTTCAGATCCAAGGGATCCAGTACCCTTTTCTGGCCTCCACAGGCATCGCACACATGTGGTACACATACAAACAAGCAGGTATATATATACACATAATTTTTTTTTTGTCTTTTTTGAGACAGGGTCTCCTTGTAGCTCCAGCTGTCCTGGAACTCACTGTGTAGACCAGGCTGGCCTTGAACTCACAGAGATCCACCTGCCTCTGCCTCCCAAGTGCTGGGATTAAAGGCGTGCACCACCATGCCCGGCTATAATTTTTTTTTTTTAAAGCAATGGGCTGGGGAATATATTAGTGGTAGAGAACTTGTCCGGCATTCCAAGGCCCTGAGTTCAATCCCCAGCATAGACCAGAAAAAAATAGTGGTAGGGTGAGTGAAGTTGGGTATGGTAGTGCACACTTGAGGCAGGAAGATAGAAAGTTCCAGGCCAACATAGTAAGACCCTATCTTCAAAAAAAGTGAATGAGCCGGGCATGGTGGCGCATGCCTTTAATCTCAGCACTTGGGAGGCAGAGGCAGGCGGATGTCTGTGAGTTCAAGGCCAGCCTGGTCTACATAGTGAGTTCCAGGACAGCTGGGGCTACTGAAAAGACCAAAAAAAAAAAAAAGTGAATGACTGAGAAATACACAGTGGTAGATGGCACAGCAGGTGGGTGTAGGCAGAGTGAAGGAGACAGAAGGCCCAGGTTTTAGAGGGTGATACTGAGGGACTCAATCTTGCCTTTGCTGACCATGGGGCCCAATACTGACAGGTAGGTCCAGGAAAGTAGGGCAGGGCTCCAGGCTAGCCCCTCCTTCTGGAGAATGGCCATCCCTGCTTTGCTCCCTATGAAGGAGAACAGCCCAGGTTCCAGGAGGGACAATTCAGGGAAGCCCCTTAGTGGGCTGCATGTGTCTCACCTATCAGAGCAGGAGTTTCTGGGATCAGGGTTTAGTCAAAATTAGACAGTAACCCCAGAATTTTGTGGAAAAGCAGAGGAAAAAGAGGGGCATGGGTACATGAGAGACAAATTGACTGAGGGAGTAGATGGATAGTGACTTAGCTCTCTGCCCTTCTAAAATAATCACATTGTCATGGAGCCTGTCCCCAGGATAGGCTTTTGGGGCATCTCAGTCTGAGGTACAGATAGGATATACTCAGGGTGTTACATGGTGGAATAAACCAGGGCTCTAACCCCAGTGCTTCTAGTACCTCCCATACTAAGGCTCCCCAAGACAGCTATTTGCAGCCCTTCTAACCTATGCACAAGTGGGATGGGGCTGCTGAGCTCCAAGTGGTCGCTGCCCACAATCTATAGCTGACACAAAAGACAGGAAACCCTCGTCTCCCAGCTTCCTGCCCAGGGCAGCTATAAAGATCTTCCTAGAAGGAAAAAATCAGACCATATCTTCTTTTAAATTTAATTGTGTGTGTATATGTGTCTGTGTGCATGTATATGACCAGAGGTCAGAGGACAACTTACAAGACTTGCTCTCTCTGTCACATGGTTCCAGGGTTTGAACTTAGGTGGACAGGCTAGGCGACAAGTGCCTTTACCCACTGAGCCATCTCGTTGACCTCCATTATCTCTTTTAGTAGTTTCCCACCTCCCTGGGAGCAAAGCCCAAACCCCTGCCTTTGACAGGTTCCCTCTGGGCAGGACTCCTCAGAGAACCAGCCATCTAACATCTAAGTTGTGTGGACTAAGTGGAAACAAACAAAAAGTAAAAAAGCGGCATCTCAGTGCCAGTTGCACTAAACAGAAAAGGCTGTAGCACTGTCACAGGTGAGAAACTCCTTTTCGGCAGATACCCTCTGGCCACACTGACCCAGCCATCATCTGGTCTGAAACTTGCCAAGCTTGCTACTGTTCTCTCCCACCCCAACCCTACCCCCCAACTCCCTGACCTCTTCAAGTATCTTCCCTGACATCTGGACCAGGACTTGACTCTTCCAGGTGGGCTAGAGGACTACGAAGGAAGAGTGTATCGAGTCTAAGTGGCTCACAGGTCTAATGTTTGCTCAGGAGCCCGAGATCAGCCTGAATACAAGACTGGCTAGTCCACCTCTCTTTGTGGCCTTGACGAATGTCCCATCTATTGATGGGGCAGTTCTAACCATGGAACCCTAGCATTTTAGTTCAATAGAAGTGTACATTGGGACACATGATTTGTGAACCTGCTTACACACACATTAGGGACCTGGACATGCTTGAGCCACAACAATGGGAGACATACAAGTTAGGGAAAGAGTGGTAGGCTGAAATTCCTTGGCTAAAGACCTCAGAGCATAGCACCTTGTTCTGGCCCTGGTCTTGTTCTCAGTTCTTGGTCCCTTGAGTGTCTGTGCTGACTATATAGGACAAATGTACTGGACACGTGCTTTTCTCCCCAACCACTGGAAGGAGGGGAACCAAGGAGCTCAGGGGACCAACCCACTCCTCATAGGACCCAGCTCCCTCCCAGGCACTAATGTAGCACAGAACCAGGCCTGCTCAGTTCTGTCCTTTTGTACTGACCCTTGAGTGAGCAGTGGTCACAAGGCACCCATTAGCTCACAAAGCAGAGTGGGCACTTATCAGGGGTAGGCTTTGCTCTGGGATTTGGTTGACAGGGGTGTGAGCAGGAGCTCAAAGGATGAAGGGACAGTCCATGGCCATCACTGAGTGGGGCAGAACCCAGCGAAGACTTTCCCAGGCAGTCCTCAGTCTCATACAGATGACATAATGACTGACACTTTGAGTGCCAGTACTGTGCCCAGAGGACAAATATAAACGAGGCCAAGGAGCCCAGGAGTTATCCAACCATTCCTCTAAATGGACACTATGCAGGTAACCTCTTTGGTTTCTGTCTCGATGTTAAACCTCTGAATCACAGGGTTATGGGGTGGACAGGTTCTAATTCACTTCCATAGTTTCTTGAAGAGGGCCCAAGAAGCTCCTTGTTTGCTCCTCTTTGTCCTTTATCTAGAGCTCTCAGGACCTTCACCTCCTGTGCTGCTCAGGAAGAGTGGGAATCGTCAGGGTCTGTCTGCAAGAAGCCCTGTGCTGTATTGGAGATGGGACCGTCTCATCAGATCAGTCTTTCATACAAAGCTCCTTGCTGCTGTCTACAGCTGCTACAGTCTGCACTTACACGTTTGTGTACCCACCTAAGAGCAGGGATCTGCCTGTTAGAGCAGGAAGTGTTATTATTTCTACCTCCCTCAGCATGGACACAGGAAGCCACTACCCACCCTTTGTGGCCTGCCCAGTTCCACCAAAGGCTACAAACCCAGCAGTTCATCCTCTAAATCAAGCTCCTGGGGAGTTGAACATGTTGAGGGGAACTAGTCTTTGAAGAGCTCCCTGGATCTGTGTTGGGGCTTAGCTGCACTAGATCATGTCTGTACCCTCACCATTCCACTCTGGGTGCTGGAGCAGAATTATATCAGGCCACACACTAGGATCGCTCTGCAGACGCCCATGTGTCCCTGTGCCCAGTGGCCTCCATGCTAGGAGCTAGGAACTCTGGAGAGAGACAGATATTTCTTATGGCGGCTCAACTTTGGAATAGGGGAGGCACATAGGCTCCCAGGCTCAGTGGGTGATGATGCAGCAAGGCTGTGCATCTGGAATGGCCCCTAACCTGCTGGTCACCTCATTGTATCTGCTTGAGGGTCCTCCTCAGATCTCTGGCATTGCCTCCTGGGTGGGGCAGCCTGGAGCCCACCCTCCAGGCAGACCCAGAAGCTGAGCCCACCCATTTGTCTGGTTCTGCCCTCAGTGCAGTCACTAACTCCTTTCCCATATTCAGATTAGTACACGTACACGTACACGTACACGTGCACACACACACACACACACACACACACCCCACACACACAGCAGCCTTGTGGCCCAAGAAGGATGCCTGGAGTTAACCTTTATACCTTCATCATGCTCCCAGCAATATGCATCAATGTGCATGTTTACCACAGGGCACTTGAACCCTGAATTCTCAGTTCAGGTTCCATTTCCTCCACCAGGGCCAGGAGAGCTTGAAGCCTGTGTCCATGAATCTGAGCAAGAAGCTACCAGGCTAGGAAGTGGGAAGCACAAACACAGCCCTTATTTTAAAGTTTTCTGACTTTTATTTCATGGTGTTTGACATGGACAAATACTGGAGTTAGTAACTTGACACCACGCAGCTCCCTCCAGCCTTGGACCACCCTAGCAGAGGAAAGGTCAGGCTGCCACCCCACCAACTTTGTCTGATCTTGCCCTCAAGATGATTGTGCTAGACACTGAGGACAAGGAGTGGAGGGGAGAGAAAGATGATCATTGCAGTTTAAGGCATTTCTGGTTCTAAGCCATTTCTGCCACCTCTGTTCCTTGGCTGGACACTGGGCAGATCCCTATCACTTAAAGATGAACCACCCCTCACACGAGACCAATTGAGGGTTGCTGTGAATCAGGACAAGAATAACACCTCCACATAAGACATCAAATAAAATCAATGCTTGAAGAATATGGTTGAGTCTCCCATTCAGAGAGGGGGTGGGGAGAGGGAGATTGTCTGCCTAGGCAAGCAAACAATGGAGGTCAACCACATCTGACGGTGGCCTACTCCCTCTTATGGGTTCCTCATGTGGCCTGGAGTTTGGAGATGGGATGGCCATGTCCAGAGTGGCTGGATAGGTAGGTAGGGCCAGCTGAGTATCAGTCAGGGCAACACAGATGAAGCCTGGCTTCTGTTCTAGCCTCCTGGGACAGGCAGACATATTTGGGGAGGTGAAGTACTGCTCCAATAGTAATATGGTTTCTAAGTCACAGTATTGGTGCAGGGGGCACTAGGGGTCCAGACTTAGTCTGAGATAAGCCTAGACCTCAGCACACCCAGGAACAGCTTAAGTGGGGACAATGGCCTCAAGGGGGCTTGCTCCAAGGAAGAGCCCAATCAACCCCAGGAGCTCCCCACTGCTCTGGGACACAGCTCTCATCCAATAAAGCGTAAGTGACGTGGGGAAATAGGGCTGGCGAGGGGGCCAGGGAACACAAAAGAGCAATGCAAGGGACACACAGTACAAGGGGCTGAGGTGTGGTGCCTTAGGCAGAGGAGTGTGGCCTAAGGCTGCCTTTGAAGCCCAGGGCTATAGGCTGCCACTTAAAGAGTCCCTCAGCACCAGTTTGTCTCTGTGGCACAGCTGCCTGGATGGAAGGGAGGCCAGGTCAGCAGTCCTTCTGGCCAACGTGCGGGCAAGAAAATCATATCAAAAAGCAACAAGTTTACAAAAATAGAAAATAATTACAGTAAGGTAGAAGTTCTGGTGGCGGCTCAGGGAATAGGGCAGGGCCTTAGCTCTGGCTTGGTGACAGCGTCCTCCAGCAGGTGCAGCTGGCGGTGACCCACTACCACGTCCCGTAGGCAGCCCACAAAACCTGTGCCATAGGCTTTGGGCAGAGTCTGCCCCACAGGCAGCTTCTGCAGGCCTCCTACAGGACAGACATTAGGAGGTCATCAGGCAGTGATACCAACAGATGGAGACCACCAAGCCCTTAAATATCAATGTGGGTGCTACACATGTGCCCAGATCCCTGTGGTCTGGGATCTGCAGGGCTAATATGGGAGAAGATGCCATCCTGCTCTCATGAGTCTAACTGCTGTCCATATGGGGCTGATTGAGGTATCAGCTCTAGGAAAGTTTATCCCTTAGTCTAAGACCCTTGGGTGCCCCCTCCCCTGGCCACCTCCACTCACCAAGCCATAGGGTTCCGTCTGTGTCCAGTTGTGTTGCACCCAGTGGGGAAGAGCCAGTCACAGGGGCCTCATTGCCCACCTGAAGAGAACCTTCCCTTTGCTCCCTGAGAGGATAGGTGGGGAAAGGCTGTCAAGGAATCCTTCTCTGCCTCCTTCATAGCCTGAGCCCCACATCCCTTCTACCCCATGCCTTGCAGGTACCATATCCTGAGGATGAAATCCTGGGGGCCAGGTTAGAGGCCATGAGACCCCTATGGCAATAGTTTCTCCTGCAGCTTCGTGTCCCTTCCTCCTCTCCCTTTCCCACTAGCAGACCTTTATTCAGGCAGCTAGTGACCTTGAGTGACTGATCAGAACTCAGCTAAGCAAGTTCAGGTACCACTTACTATTATTTTCAGTGGGCCCCACTGACCTGTGAGCCCTGACTCGTAGCCAGCGGTTAGTGTTGACCTTCACAGTGGAGCGCAGCACAACTGGCTGGGAACCTAAGTCATAGCTCAGGTGCAGGTACCCATCCACAATGGCCAGAGCCACGTAGTCTGCACGCTCTGTGGCCTTGCCACTCCACAGCACTAGCCCCTGAGTGGCCTCAGTGCGCAAGCTCAATTCAAAGTGGTTGCTCTGTAGCGCCTTCTCACTGAAAAGTGAAGGGATTAGTCATGGTCTCTAGGAAGGTTGAAGGGAGCAGGGAGCAGGGGACAAAGAGATTAGAGCAAGAGTGCTTGAGCCACTACCACAGAGGCCAGAGGCTGGTGACTGGATGGGCAGGGACAACACTAACAGTAGGACAGAGGAGGAATGGCAAACAGACAGCTAGGCAGAAATGATCAGGGAGATCAGGCAGGCGCATGGTGAGATGACAACTTGGTGTCTCTCAGGTGCTACCATGTGCTTACCTGAGAAGGGCCCCAGAATCCAGAGGTGCAGGGCTTAGAAGCAGGAAGAGAGGGAAGTAGTAAGCAGGAGGCAGAGAGGCTGAATGTGGGCCAAAGTCCCCTTATCAACAAGTACAGATGGGAGGAGGAGCAAGCATGACCCCAGGGTATCAATGGCCTCCCACAAAGTGTCCTGGCAGTGACCCATGTGCAACATGAATGTGCAGACACAGAGGGTGACATGGCCCAGTAGGTAGTTCAAAGAGCAAGGCATGGGTGATGTAGAATGGGAATGAAGGCTCTTTTGCTGGCAGTAACCTTAGAAATGCACACTCTGGAGCGTACACACACACACACACACACACACATACACACCCTGAACAAACTCACATTTGCATACACACATTTTTTTTTTTTTGGTCTTTTTGAAGCAGGGTCTCCCTGTAGCCCCAGCTGTCCTGGAACTCACTATATAGACCAGGCTAGCCTTGAACTCACAGAGATCCGCCTGCCTCTGCCTCCCAAGTGCTGGGACTACAGGCGTGTGCCACCACACCCGGCTCACATACACACTTTTATGAGACATAGTGCATATACACACCCACAAAGCAAAAATGCACATACGGAAATATGTATACATGTACACACAGGGACAAAACCACACTTGAACTGGCGCCTCAGAAGGGCCAGGTGGCCACACAGAGTAGGTGAAGTAATGGCCCTCAGTAGGTGTGTCCTGGGGAGAGGACTATTTCCAGGGCATAACAGTACATAAATAGGCCCTGGCCCCATCCTCTATCCAAGGCGGAAATTCCACTTTTAGTGGGGCTCAAGACTGTGATGTCAGGAGCAAAGGATGGACATGAGTGAGTGCCAAGGTGCAAGTAGGAGCCAAGGGCCTACTTACGCTGGGATCTCATTGGTCAGCTCGCTTGGAAACAAAGAGACAGAGATTTTAAGAAGGAAGGAGGTGGGGTAGATCCTGGGCTTTCCCTCCTGGTTACAAAGTTGTTGGAGGTATGGAGAGTCTAGCACCCCCACCCTGCAAGGCATGCACAGACAGGAGCCGACAGCAGAAAGTAGAAGGAGTGCCTGGCTCCCAGTTGCATGTTACCTCTCGATCACAGCATTGAGGTATTCAACATATGTCTTCCCATCAAAGGCCAGGGTTTCTAGGTCACCCACTGACTTCTCAACCAGCCCTGGGAGACAGATGGGATGAAGTAGACCTCAGGTGAGATCTCCAGACCATGTACAGCCTTAGCCCTGGACTGCCAGTGCTCACCCTTCTCGCAGTGCAGCCCAGAGAATCCCCCTGGACATAGGCATTCATAAGTGGCTTCCCTTGGGAGACAAGAGCCCCCATTAAGGCAGGGGTTTCCCAAGGCCTGGGTACAAGGGTGGTCTGCAAAAGATGAGACATCTACTGCCTGCAACACATGCTCCTGAGTCAGTAGTTGGTGGCCTTTTAGAGACACCTGAAAGGGAGAAGAGGAAGTGTCTTCATACAGTCTGCTGCTTCTCTGATGAGATCGTCCTCACCCAGAGCAGAACCCCTCACATCATGGCCCTTCCTCCACCCCACTGTGGAGAGCCCTGGCTGGTATCTGCCCCCATACCAACTGGATGGCACCATCGAAGCCAGAGGACACTGCGGCTGCCCGGGCCAGCTTGCTGAAGTCAGGGGCTCCTCCCACATAGAGGGGCTCCTTAAGATTAAGCATGGTGTGCGGCACCTGTAGAGGGCATAGGGTAAGGGGCCGTGTGAGATCTACCTATTGGGCAGGAGCAGGCCAAGTTCCAGGCCAGTGTACTCAATTATCTGATGTCTCACACCCACCCCTACTATCTAGGAGGCAGCGTTAATCACACAAAAATAGCAGATGTGGGCCTTAGTGGGAAAAGGGCTACTCTAGGGACGGGTATAGGAGATGCTAAGAGGGGCAAAAGGCCAACAGTACCTTGCGGGATTTCTGACATCCGGAGGCGGGTAGGGGGTTGCAGAGCAAGAGCCAGAGAGCAGTGGGGGCAGAAAGGAGACAGATGAAGGCACAGGACAGAGAAAACAGTTCTGTGAGAGGCTTTTAAGCCCTGGGGGAGAAGGGAAGTGGTGGGAAAAGGGTGAGAAAGGTTTGGGCTTTCCTCATACCCTGGACACTCACCGGAGACTCCCCCAGCACACGAGGCCCATCACCCACACGAAGGGCACCCTTGCGGCCATTTCGCTCCAGGGAAACCCTGATCCAGGTGCCCAGGGCTATGGGCTCCTTGCTCCTGTAAAGAGGTACCTGAGCAGACTCTGGACTCTGCTCATTCAGGGCCCCAGTGACACTGCCACACACCCCTTGTTTTATCCCAACTTCAGGCTTGTCGCCAAAGTCCTTCTTATAATCTATGCAGTTGTCCAGAGCCAACCCTGGGCAGCCTTACCCAAACCCCAGTCCAGTCCCTGTATGCCCACCTGATGACTGCAGCTCCCTTGCCAAGGTCATAGCGGAACTCCAGGTGTTGGTTATGCAGGGCCAGGGACACAAAGTCTCCCTTGCCATCTGTCTTTTGCCCGTTGTAGAGAAGTAAGCCATTGGGCTCACGGGCCAAGAACACCATCTCCAGTGCCATCTTCTCCCTGGGGTCATATGGAGATGCGGGAATGTGTCACTCACTGTTCCCAATAGGATGGCTCCCTTTCCTCACCACCCCCACTTGCCCTACTGACCCCAGGTCTCGATCGAAGGTGTGCAAGCCTTTCAGCTCCAGGTAGGAGAAGCCACTGAAGTCAGCTAGGAAGGGCTGGGAGCCAGTGTCTGTCTCCAAAACTACAGAGGGCCAAACAGGTATCAAACAGATTAACAGGCCCTGGGCTCTCTACTGCCCTGTATCTAACTGAATGAAAATCCAACACTAGTCTTAACCATAACCCTAACTGGATCCCGTATCAGACCTCAAATCAACCCAAGAAATTTCACCCTAACCCTTCATCCCCTCCCCAGTAGCCCTTTGCCCACCTGTCTGGCAGAAGGCACCCCTGCGTCCCAGGGGGCACTCGCATTTGACCCCACCTGTGGGAAGCACTCGGCAGGGGGCTGTCCCATGGCAGGGGTTTGGCTGGCAAGGGCTCTTCTCATCTGCACAGGTCAGGCCTGAGGGGAGATAGGATGGGAGTCCCAGGAAACACAAGACCCTGCCCACAACACCTGGATTTCCCCCAGGCACCAGGCTAGCTCTCACCAAAACGGCCAGGTGGGCACTGACAGTGGAACATGCCAGCTTCCAGTGCCTGGCACAGGGCCCCACCATGGCAGGGGTTTGGCAGGCAGGGATGGTCTCCACACTCTCCCACGCCAAAGCTTTGGGCTGTAGCCCCCTGCCAGCCGCTGAGCTCCAGCTGCTGATTGTTGATGTCCAACAGACGAATGCATCCCTTTAGGCCGATGCCCACAGAGGTTCGATCAAGTACCCTGCCACCAGGCGGGGTCAGGGTCAGAGGTAGTCTCTCACAATCAGCTGTAATACTAATACTAACATATTCCATAAACTAGGGCTAGGGATTAGGGTTACCCCTATGCCCATTTCCCTTATTGTGTTCACAGAGTGGCCAGTCCCATCAACAAAACAGAGGTAAGGATAAGGGTCAAGTGTCAGGACTGAAGGTCAGAGATGGCTATCTACAGCGGTTCCATCAAAAGCATGTTACCACCCACAAACAGAACAGTAGCAATAACTGGAGGGCCAGAGTCTGGGTTGAGGTTAGAGTTGCAGCCACCATCCATACCCATCCCTCTATCACCCATCATTTGTCACCCACAGAGTCAGAAACCAGGAGCCTAGCCAGTCCCATCCTACTCCTGCTCACATGGCAGCCTGTTCCTCTGGGACGCCACCCACAAACAGGTCTGTGTCCAAGTTGAGGCCATCAGTGCCGCTGGGGCTTTCACCCACAACAGGGGTCTCACCATCCACAGAGAGTGTGCCCTGGCGCCAATGTCGTGACAATTCTAGGTGGTGCCAGCGTCCAGGTTCCACTGGCACTGAGCTGGTTAGCACTGCTGGCCCTGAGCCTGTATCAAACCTGGACATGGGAGCAGGGACTCAGGATGTCAGTCCAGCCGTACCACAGGCCTGGCCTACCTCATCTCACCCATGGCCCACCATAAGCCTCACCCCTTACCTTCAGATTTGGGTTTATCCCTGTCACCATATAGCCTATTTGACCTATAGAAGCCAGGCCCATGTACTGCTCCCTCCATTATACCCACCTGAACTGCACATGCCCATCCAGCAGAGCCAGAGACAGGAAATCCTTGCCACGTGCATTGCCATTATAGAGCAGCAGTCCCTGAAGCTCCAGTGTCCGGAATTCCAGTGCCAGGCGCAGCGTGTGGTATGCCCGGAGAGTGGGAAAGGCCAAGAAAGAGTGGCCCTCAAAAGACGGCACAGAGGGACGTAGAACTGCAGGGAACAGGGAGGGCTAAACTGGAGGAGTACCTGTGACCCTGCCACCTACTCATTGCCTCCCTGACTCCCTGGCACAAGGTGACCTTACCTTTCTCACAGATGGTGCCCTCTCTGCTTGCAGTACACCTACAGGTAAAACCCTTGCCAGAATCCTGGTCCTGGCAGGTGCCCCCATAGAGGCAGGGCTGGGAATCACAGGACTTTGGGAGTTGTTGAGGGCCTGAGGTCCGAGACTGGTCACGGCTGAGGGCAGTGGTGGGTGGATGGCGTGTGGTGGGAGGTGCTGTGGTTCTACCAGTGGGCCGGCTGGTGTGACTGAGGTAGACTCGTGGGGTCACAGTAGAGAAGGGCAGTCGGCTCATAGTAGTGGCTCTGGCAGTGGCCACAACAGCCGTGGCTCCTGTTGCAGCTCCCGTAAAGAAAGCTGGAAACCAGTCTGCAGGGTAGGGGAGCTGTCAGGTCTTCAGTGAGCAGGGCATAGGGAGAGCTGGTAGGATAATGGAAGCTAGAAAAAGGAGGACAGGTGAGCTGGTGTCCAACCTGGCACTCACCAAAGTCCATGAACCGCACATGCTCCTGAAGAGGCCTCCTCACTGCCAAGGCCCGGCGCCTGGATACCTGGATTTGCCGGAGCAGGGCCCGGCCCACATCGAGTGCCTGGAAGGCTGTGGCTGGGGAGGAGGGACTCCTGAGTATGACCTGGTTCCATGTAGCCAGCACACATTATGAGAGCGGACAAAGGAACTTACTAGGATCGAAATGAACATCCACAATGGCTCGGACTGATCTGCCAGGTCCCAGATCCCGTAGGTGGACACTCCGGAAGTCTTTCTTGACATCTGAGTTCCGGAACAGGTCATCCAGCTGTAGGCAGGGAATGGGTGAGGACACTGGGCACTATCTAAATTCCACTAAAACTGGTCCCCTTGAACCAGTTATTTGGTTCTGTCCTGGAAGGATATCCACAAACTCTTATACCGTGCTTTCAATGCTTCTTGCAGTCTCCCCAAACAGCTCTGATTTGGGATCAGCCATCTCTGGTGTGTAGAACAGCTCCTGACCCTCAACGCCCTCAAGCTCCAACACACCCTGGAATGCCTTGGTAGCTGTAGGGGAGGGTCAGTGAGGCCATGCCAGTGCCATCTGGCCTCCTGGGCAGCCACAGGAGCAAGCCCCACAGCAAGTCGTTTGAGATGCAGGGCAGGGGATGTTAGTCAGATGATCATGGGGTTAGTGGGGACCCCAGGGCAGGGCTGGCGTCAGTTACCAGGCAATTCCTAGGAGCAGGTGCCCCAAGCCGGCTTGCAAGGAGAAAGACGGGTTAGGCACAGGGTCCTGGGCACACACGCATATTCAGTGGCTGAGACCAGAGTGCATGTGTATGCCAAATCCCCCAAACCCTATATTCTCATGTGCTGTAGCCAGAATATCATAACCTTGTACCAACCTGTTGCCACAGGGTACGGGGACAGCACTCCTGGCATATCCATGCTGTTCCTCAAGCTCCACCCTTTCCCCATTATTCACTTACCAGGACAGTTGGAGCCTTCTGAGTCCAGTGAGGGTGTCTTGCCATCCGAGCAGCAGCCCAAGGGTGAGTTGTAGCAGGAAGCCCTCTCAATGGGTGGCCCATGGGTCACCACACTGCTGCCCACAGGGGGCTCGAGTCCTGGGGAGGTGTAGTCTAAGCCCGGCCCTAGGTGGGAGCCACTCTTAGGCTCTGCCCCCACATCACCCTCAGACCTGCCCACATGTCCCTGAGGCCCTGCTCACCCCCAGACCCGCCCCCACTGGCCTCCTGGTCCCCGCTCAGCTCCTCATCGCCACTCCCATAGGTGCTTCCAGATTCGCTGAAGATTGATGTGGCAAGACTGGTTACAGCAGAGGGTACTGTCGGGGGTACGGTCAGCACAGGCCATGCAGTACTCCTGGAGATGCTGGCTGTGGTCTGAGGTTGTGATGTGGGTGGTGGAGTAGGCCAGCCATGAGTGGTGCTGCTGGGAGCCAGGGGCGGGGCACTTGAGGGGGATGGCAGTGTCTTGCTCAGGACAAGCCCTGGGATAGTCATAGATGCAGATGTTGGGGAAGTTCCAGGAACAACAGTCTCTGCAAGGAAAGGGATGTTAGGGACTCAAGTTAGGGAAGAGCCTGGTCTTCCTGGTCTGTTCTAAGTAGTTGTTCCCTGTCCTTACCCGGGCATGGGCCAAGACTCTGAATAGAGATGTCCAGGCCCTGGCGGCAGGCAATAGTCTTCAGCTGACATTCATTGCCATATGTGACACCATCTGATCCACAGACCTGGGATGTAGGGCAAAGGTGTTTGGGTTAAGCCTCCCGACCCAGATCTCTCTCCACATATTCTACTTCTTACCTTGGTAGAGTTGGCCTCTGGACATGTGAGAGCTGGGCAGACACAGTGGGCAGAACCAGCCTCCTCTACACAGGATGCACCGAACTCACAGTGCACCTCCACACAAGTCACATGTGCCAAAGAGTCTGTGGTAGACATGAGATACCCCTGCCAATTCAGGTACACATTTTAGCACAAGGAACCCTGGGTCAGCACCAGCCCTTGCCCTTACCTGCTTCACAGCCAGCAGGACCCAGGGCTTGACCATCTGGACAGTGCCCACACTTGGAACCAGCCACACCAGGCCTACAGGAACACAGTCCAGTCATTTGCTCACAGTCGTCCCTCACAGCACCCCGAGGGTCACAGCTGCAGGCTGGGGGGAAGGGAAGAACCTAAGGTCTACACCTGGACAGGCTTCTCTAACCTACCCTAGAGCCCTGACAGGTATTGGTCAGGCCAGACCTGAGCAGTGATGGGAGTGGGTACTCAGGGGTGTTTGGGGCCATCACTCACGAGTGCAACCGCTGCGGCCATCAGTGACAATGCCACGGAAGTTCCAGAAGCCAGGCTCACAGCGATCACACCTGAGGCCTCCCACACCTGGTCGGCAGGAGCACTGGCCTGTGGCTGGGTCACAGGTGCCACTGTAGGAGCCGTGTTGGTTGCACTGGCAGGTGCCTACAAGGGGAGGGAGCACTGATCACTGCAGCTGCACAGCTCTGCCAGATGATGGTCAGGGCTGGGTTCAGGTACTCACTGGGACAACCAGCCAGGCCCACACCCTGGGCAGCAGTGACATTGTCCTGGCAGCAGCCATAGGGTGTTTGGGTACAGTGTGGGAGGGCTACAGGCAGCAATGGAGCCAAAGTAGGGCCTGCAGGAAGGTACGCAGGGTTCAGATTTGATGTAGTGCTAAATGCTTATTCTAAGCCCAACTACTCTGCCTCAACCTTGCCTGTCACACCACTCAGCTCCTTTAACAAGGAGCTGATGACAGACATTGAGGCTGTCATGGTGAAATCAACAGTATCACATGTAAGGATATACTTGAAATGCAGGATCTGAAAGCCACAAAACATATGAGGCTACAAATATAGATAGGGGATACACACAGCCCCACGCACACATTACCAGAACCACAGACATATACACAGATAAGTGTGTCTCACAAACTAGCACACATATGAAGACACATGTATATGCATTTGCATTCCTCCAAAACATTGTATTTGCAACCATATACATGTATCTATGTACATGCACAAACACATATGTAAGCAGGTGCATGTAAATAAACATGATAACTGTGATGTATGTGTCATCAGTCACTGTCCTACACAAGCAAAAGCATCCAGTGGGTACCCCTCATATCCCTGTTGCCTTCGTTTGGAAGCCTGGATTGGCTTATACAAAGTGCTTGCTGTACATTTGCTAACTGGGCACTGTACATTTAAGAGACAAGGCCACCAAAGCATGCAATGTATGCCCACAGCCTCATCTTGGAACCCCCTCCACCCACCCCCAACACATGGAGACAGAAGCTATTCCACAAATGAACAAGAATATGCCACCATATGCCAGATATACCCCGTGCAGCCACTCACCACGGCAGGCTCCCTGAGCCACAACATATAGTTCTTGCTGTGATTCACACCTGGCCTTCTTCAGGTCACACTCAGTGCCATAAGTGACCCCATCTGAGCCGCACACCTGGAAGAATGGGGTCAGTGTGGACAGTCTTGGTGCATTCCTCACTGTGCCCACCCTGGAGCAAGAGGAGAACTGGGGTGCTCACCGGGCTCCTCAGGACACTCTGGCAACTGAAGTCACAGACACATGGCCCATCCTCTGAGTCTTCATCCCAGATACCACCATGCTGTCGACACATCTCTTGTTCACACTCATTGTCTTCCCCAGAACCAGAGCCTCCAGAGCCACACTCAGCTGTGGGGAATAAGAACTGAGTAACTCATGAGGTGGCCATCAGAAGCTGGGGTCCAGCTGCTTACACCAGCTATCTACGCCAGCTGCCTGAGCTTACCCTGCTCACATGGCCCTGCCCTGGCCTCCTCAATTTGCATCTGCTGCTGACAGGCAGCTTCTCGTAGCTCACAGGCACTGAGATAGGTGACACCATCACTGCCACACACAGGGCCAGGTGGAGGGTGCTCACACCTGGGACACACACACTGTCCAGCTGAGCACACAGCCCCAAAGGTGCACACTGCGTCTCCACAGGTCTCTGTAGGAGATGGTGAGAAGCAGGAGTTAGCAGATGCTGGCTGGGGAAATCATGGGAGCCCAGTTCTCCTGGCCCCACTCACGGCAATGTCCAGCTGAGACCACATGTAGACTGATCTGGTGTGTGCAGGCGTGGACATGCAGCTCACATTCACTGTCATATGTGTGTCCATCAGAACCACACACAGGCTGAGCTGAGGCTACACATTCAGAGGGGCACACGCAGCGTCCAGTTTCTACCTCACATAGGGCTCCAAAACGGCACTGTCCACATCGGTCTGGGGAGGAGGCTCCATCACTACGTTGACCAGAAGCCTCCTCCCAACCCAACCTACTAGCTCACCACTGACCACAGGGTCCTCTGTGGGCCACCCGGATTTCATGCCCAAGGGCACAGGCCATAGACTCCAGCTCGCACACACTGCCGTACGTGATGTTGTCACTGCCGCACACAGGATCGTAGACACCTGAGCACACCTGCTGGCACTCACAAACAGCTTCCCCATTCTTCACTGTACACGTTGCCCCAAATGCACACTGCACTCCTCGGCACGGGGATGGGGCCTGGTCTGGGGAGGATGTGGTACTCAGTTCACACTCTCTTCCAGCTGTGGGCAAAGCCCCCACTCCACGCAATAGCCCCTCTCAGGGTGGGGATGGTGGAGAAAGAGCTAGATGCATAGGACACAGCAGAGAAAGGGACAGACACAACAGAGATAGATGGGGACATAAGAGTTCCTGTCTGCCCACAGTAGGCCACGGACCCTGGACCACCAGCAGCCCTGGGATACTTATGCACACGGGGAAGAGGCTCTTTGCCCATGGATAGGATGCATGTATAACCCCACAATCACACCCAGGGCCACTCAGGGGAGAATGTGTCTGTCAACTTGCTCTGAGGACCAGAAGGCCAGGCAGCAGCAAGCCACTCCCCCCAGCCATGCCAGGGGCAGACCTCAGGCTGTGGGCTCCTGGCAGACAGGCGCGGCACCTCATCCTGCCAGCAGGTCAGGCTGGAAGACACAAGAGGCGGAGCCGAGAGGGAAGGAAGGACCAAGAAGACACAGACAGATGCAGAAAGAAGGACCAGAAAGATGGACAGAGGACTGACCAAGATAGACAGCAGAGCCAGGCAGGGCCATGGTGGCCCACTGGCCCAAAAAGACATGTTGGCCACTGCCCAGCTTCCTCCACCCTCTCCACTGTACTCCAAATCTCAACTGAGACTCCATCTTTAAGGGACTTGGGGTTGCACAGTGCTCCAACAATATGGGATCTCCAACATCACATTCATTCCTGCCCACCCAAGTAGTCTGCACCCTGTGTAGCGAGGAGACAGATGGATAATGGACAAGAAGACCTACAGCGTGCAGAATGGCCAAGTGCATGCTGCCTTGCCCCATCTCCCAGGTACCCCAGAGTTCCCCTCTTCATAGCTTCCACATACCAGCACCCTCCCCAAGTGACTCCAGCCCAGGACCCCAGGAGGTATATGACAAGGAATGGAGATGGTATATGATGGGAACAAGGAATGACACAGGACCAGCTGCATCTGGCTGGATCCTAGGCTGCTCACCACATGGACCCTGGTGCTTGGGTGGAATGGCATGCTGTTGCCGACACTCAGCATGCTGGCGCCAACAATCATTGTCATACGTGTGCCCATCTTGGGCACATACAGGTCTGTAGGCCCCATCACAGGTGACACGATTGCAGGAGCAGCGAGGACGGCCATGGCGGGATAGACACACAGAGTTGAACTGGCAGGTCTCCAGGCACTGGTCTGGGAGTAGGCAAGGAGATCAAACAGGCCAGAGTATCACATCAACTGTATGCAGGGGATTTAGGGACACCTGATGTGATGAGTTGAGACACAAGAGTATGTAGGAGTTGGGGTCTAATGAGTCACAGTGGCAAGACTAGGTCCCTCCCCTGGGAGCACCCACCTTGAGTCTGGCACTGGCCAGAACGAACTTTCTGGAGGAGCAGGCCACGAGCAGCCCCAGTACGGCCCATGACACAGTCATTTTCATAAGTGACCCCATCATCTCCACAGATAGGCATGTGCCGGGCGGGGCAGTTCTCTGGCCGTAGGAGCATCTCTGGGTGCCTTGTGCGTGGATTCACACGGCAGATTCGGTTCAGGTCAGAGAGGTTGCCCTGGCAGGGGTCTAGAATGGGAGTGTGAAAATCAGGGACTGTCGCCAGTCCTGGGGTTTAGAATGGGAGGTATCATGTGTGGGAGAAGGAAGCCATGCAGAGGGTTTCACTCACCACAAGGGCCATTGAACTTCTTAAAGATGTGCTCCTGGCGGGCACAAGCATGACGTAGCAGCTGGCACTCGCCAGGGTAGTCAATACCATCACTGCCACACACAATGCCCTTAGGGGCCCCAAGACAGGTTGCAGGACAAACGCATGAGGCAGTCTGTCCATCGGCTGAGCGTGCACAGGTGCTGCCAAAACTGCAAGTAACATTGGCACAGGGGTCCCGGATCCCTGTGGGATGGGAAGAGTTAGGTTATGCTGTCTACCTGGCCCCCAATGCTGCCCACACTCACTTACCGCATGGTCCCTGGCGAAGGAGGCGGATGCGTCGCTGCTGGCTGCATTGAGCTCGCTGTAGCTCGCACTCATTGCTATAGGTGGAAGCATCAGAGCCACACACAGGGGCCACCACAGCAGGGCAGGCATTCTTCTTACACACACAGGAGGCCTGGCCTGGATTCTCAATACTGGGTTCACACACAGCGCCAAAGCCACACAACATTCCCCTGCATACTGAGGTTAGACCAGAAAAGGGGTATTCAGAGTCAGGCTAACCAGGAATCTGTTCCTAGTTCAGACACCCAGGAGTTCTTGTGACATACTATTTGTGTTCAAACCTCATGGACAGATACACCCACAACACACATTTAAGTTCACACCCAGACACAAGAGTGCCCACAACTGCCCCATGTTGGTGCCCACACTTAATCCTACCTCTGGAAGGCTCCCCCACCAGCCTGAGCCTTACCTCATAAGATAGTTTCCCTCATCCTACAACTTACAACCATAGAGTTCCTATTTCCACAACAGGACAAAGCATTCACTCCCAGCCTATTCCATAGGCCCTAACAAACAGTAGGAGAGGGCGCCAGTTATGGATGCTCCAGCTCCACCCACATCAGCCACAAAGCTCAGCTTTGTGTGGACAGGTTCCTGAGGCTGAATGTAGGGGATGTAGTTGCATTGGGAGGGCCTTTGAGGATTTGGGTCAGGACATTTACTGAGGTGGAGAGGCCCAGGAGGATAGGAGGTACTTTTGTGATCCCAGAGAGATCCTTACCTGCCAGCTTGAGGCTAGGGTAGGAACTGAGGCATGTGAATGGGGGAAATTGGCTATGAGGGCCAAAACTCAGGTTCACCTCATCTTAGGTCTCGGTGGGGCTTTTTCTGAGGAGTTGCCTCTGTATCCACCAGACCTCTGCCTGCCACATCCCAGTGAAGACCATCTCCACAGTCTTCTGAAGCCTCCCTCTGACTCCCTATATCTCTTTTACCTTCCTACAGGCTTGATGAGCCGCTTTCTTTCCTTCATCGTCCTCCCAGACCACTTGCCTCTCTAGTAGGTCTAGCCTCCCTCCCTTCCAAAAGCACACTCTCCTGCCCTGCTCCTGTGATCTTTTCTCTTTCAAAGTCTTCTCTCTGGCCACTCTCCTCTCACTATCCAGGCCCCCACAGCCAGCTTCCCCTGTGCATAACTCTCTAGTACTTCCCACTCGGCCTCAAGTTGGCAGTGCAAAAGTTTCTCTGGGATCACACAGATCATACAAGTACCCCTGCTGTCTTCCTGGGCACTCCATCTCAGGAAATGTCCTCACCCAAGTCCTCTGAGTGCCCTCCCGGTACAACTGCCCCTATACTCCTCCTCACACACCCATTCACACAAGATCTGGGCATGTGACTTCATTCTCTAACATTTAGTCTGCTGTTACAGACAGCAATGTCTAGCATACACCCTGTTCCTAATCTCTAAGCAGCCTGTGAAGCTGGCAGAGGGCAGGGGTGTATTTGTGTCAGGTGTCGTTCACTAAGTACGGATGTAAAGTAGACACGGATACATTTAAAGTTGGGGCAGTCACTGTCCTCCTAGCATGGCATTGGGACTGGTACCCACTTGAGAAGATGAAGCATGAGTGGCGTGGGCCCTTTAGGAACTACAGCTGCCTAGATCTAATATAAATATATACTTGGGTATAATTATCATTAATAAGTCACGGGAAGCAAGGCCCCCATCACCTCCTAGCATGCTCAGAAATGAACCAGAAGCAGTCCTGTACATCTCCTAGAAGGTGAATTGGGGGCTAGAGCCAGCTGTTGCCATAGCAATGGCCTATTCAACCTCTCTTGTTTGCTTATCTGGGTAGCCTTGCTTCTGCCTAGAAGGCTGCAATTATAGAAACCTCTGCCAGATTTCCCTATGACTTGTGCAGGCTTGTGCTTACCAGCCCCAGCTCTTAGAGCCAAGCCCTCATGCCTTGGTTTTCCCTTCCCGTTCTATAAATGGGGACCATAAGTACCTATTTCCAGGACTGTGGGTTTGCTAATGCCTATAAAGTTTAGAGGAGTGGTCTAAGTGAAGTGCTAGGTAGAGCAAGTGCTATGAAGTGCAGTAATAGGGTTGCAGCCCCAGCAGCCTCCTCTGTCTTGGTTCAAAACAAACTTAAGCTATATCCACCAATGGTCTGTCTTCATGCCTGACCAACACCTCCCTCCCATTTACCCTTTTCTTTCCTGTGGTACCATCCTCACATTCTATTACCCAAGTTCCCTGGGAGTCCTATGTCAAATCCAACAGGAGTTTGCTGATGCCAAGCTGGCTGTGCTCCTGGGCTACTGACCAAGATCTCCCCAGGTCCAGACCTTGAGTCTGTGCCTAGCACCTAGTTCTTTGGCTAGCTAAGTATCTGTGTTCTAGGGCCTCTCTCTCGCTCTCGCTCTACCTGATCACTCTGACCCAGTCAACCTTCCCCAGGCCAATGCCATAGCCAAGTGTAGCTATTCCTCAACTACCAAGAACCTATGCACTAAAGCCAGGTATTGCTTTACAAGTATAAGACTCTGCTTCAACAAAATAAAGCAAAAATAGTAACAACAAAGGGCCTGCACTGAAGTTCTGTAGCAAATCCAGGGTTTAGAGTGCTAGGCTTGGTGGCACATGCCTTTAGTCCCAGCACTTAGGTGGTGAGTTCAAGGCCAGCGTGGTCTACACAATGAGCCCCAGGCCAGCGGGGGGTAAAGGGAGGCCCTGTCCCAAAAAAACAAAAAAAAAAAAAAAAAAAAAAGAGTGTACAGTGCCCATCTTGACTCTGTCCCTGGTTCTACAACCAAGTAACTTATCAAGAGTCAGTCAGGACAGTGAGATGGCTGAGCGGGTAAAGGCACTTGCTACCAAGTCTGACCACCTGAGTTTGATCCCCAGGACCCACGTGGTGTAAGGAGAGAAATAACTATATTCTAACCTCCACATGCAAACCAGGGCACATGTGTGTATGCATATATACACATAAATAAAAATAAATAGTTAAAAGAAAAAGAGAGAGAAGCCAGGCATGGTGACACCAGTTGGGGCTATAGGAAAACCCTGTCTCAAAAAGACAGACAGACAGAGAGAGAGAGAAAGCCAGCCAAGAGAGCCAGCTTGGGAAGCATCCACCACCTCCAGGACAAACGCATCCACCTCACATAGCTGGTAAGGGATGTTCCCTTAAATCTTGTTTCTTGCCTCAAGGTGATTGTTTATATGCATCTCTTTCTCACAGGACCAGGTGATCACAGATCAAGACAAGTTTCTTTCTCTTTTAATTTTCTGGATTTACTTTATCTTTAATTATGTATATATGTGTATCTTCACATGAGCGCAGGTGACTGTGGAAGCCAGAGACTTTGGATACCCTTGGGGCTAGAGGTACAGGTAGTTTGAGTCACTTGACATGGGTTCTGGGAATCAAAACAAATTCTGGCCCTCTGGAAGAGCAGTATGTTCTTAACTGCTAAGCCATCTTGCCTGCCCTCAAGACAAGTTTCTTTACTGAATATAAGAATAGATAATATCTGAGACTACCTGAAGACAGGTGGATGGAGTAATGGCACATGCATACATTCCTACACAAGAGCAGGCAGAACTGTTGCAAAAGCCACACCCTGAGCCTTAAGCACCACCCAAGTATCATCACATGCAATGCCTTAAGCACCACCCAAGTATTATCACATGCAATGTCCCATGTAGCAGGAAAGAAGCAGAGGCTCAGAGAGGTTTCCTGACAAAGCCACAGTGCTAATAAACACTAAGCTCAGCTTAGTCCCTATCTGTGTTCCTGGTCAGTTCTTCAGACTGCCTCTCATAAATGCAGGTGGCACACCCACACCTATGAGTAATAAGTCTCCAATGGATCACCTCTGTCCCCCCACCCCAGTATGTGCCACGCTTAGCCCTTGTGGAAATCCTTCTTGGCCTCCTAGCTTCCTGCCCAGGCAATCTCTCTCCATGCGATACTGGAGGCGTCAGGAACTTTTTATAGCCACCACAGTGGTGGAGTGTATATTTAACTTTCCTCCTAGTCTTGGGTGGGTTGGAAGATGGAACAGATGCCCGTGAGCCCTGCTTGAGGCCATTTATGTGTGGCATGAGTGTTTGTATGTGTGTATGGCTATGGCATATATCCAGAGTGTGCAAAAGACATCTGGGTGGGGATAAGAGGTCTGCATGTGTAGTTGTGGGGAATATAGTGTATATAAGAAAAAGTACATTTGGCAGCTTTTGGGGCTTCAGGACAGTGAGCTGATAATGCCAAGGAGGAGGATACCTTCTGAGCCCACCTTGAGTATTGACAGCTTCAGGTCTCTTGGCCCTAGTCTGTGAACATTCAAATCTAGCCCCAGGCACCATGTTAGAGGACAAATTCTACCTCCTCATAGCCCATCCCACTGGGAGGGATTGGGCGTCTTCTTTTAAGATGTAGAGAAATGACAGTCCCTTCCTCCTGGATCCCAGTCCAACAGGAAGAAAGCAGTCTGACACAGGCAGATTACTCACTCATTCATCTATCTAGCCAATGTTCTCTGTAGCTCCAGTAATACTGAAGGTCGCATACCATAGAGTGGTGACCAGTTGCCCTGACAATGACCCCCAAGCAGAAGCACCTGAGAAGCATAGGCTCCCCTCAACACCCTTTGGCTTGGGACTCCAAAGGGCCTTCTGAGTCTTGGGGGAGCAGCCTGAGGAAGTGCACTGGTGTCAGGGCTAGGACAGGGGGTCCCACCACTGTTAGCCTGCATTTCCACTGTACCCGTACACTGTCCAGTTAGGTGCCCTTGGGATCAAAAGCCCAGTGGATAAGTGTGTCAAAAAACACACTCTAACACTATAGTCTCAGGGGATAAAGAGCAGCTGGTTACAGATGACTCTTGCCCAGATGGCTATTAAGACAGGAGAGACCCTCCACTGTACTATTATCTCAATCTAGTTCCTGCTTTTGGGTGCCTGGGTCCCTCACTCCCAGGAAAACAAACAACCTAACTGGTTTTACAGGTGGCTGAGGCCCCCAGGGTTGCCCTACTCTATCTCCCAGCACATGTTAGAGGGAGGGAGGCCCTGGAACTGCCAGGTTATCTCCTCTACTCTCAAGACCCAGGAAATAACCCAGACTGTGTAACCCAGGGATGCATCCTAGAACCACGGGGTCTATCCTCATAGTGACACCCATAACCACAATCCTAGAATTCCCTGATGTCCTCCCAACCCATGTCCTAGTCAAAACAGAACCATGGTTTTGCTCCATGTAAGAGAACTCAACATATATGACTTCAGTGAAACTGGACAAGTGCCCAGGTAGCAGAATTAATGGGGCAGGTGCTAGAGCAAAGTTGGGAACTATGACCCACTGGCTGTGAGGACCCAGGCTGGGGTAGCAGAGCCACAGTCTACCCCATCCTTGCCTTTTTAAAAAAGACTGTCAGTTTTTCTTCTTTCTAACATCAGCTCAATTACAGAAGTCTACATATTAGCAGCCTCCATGGGAGACCTGGCCCCAGCCCACAATGCCATAAAAAAGGTCAGTCTGGCCCTTCCATCACTTGCTTCCTCCCTCATCCTAGGGAAAGACCCTAGGCCCTCCAGGTTCCAACTTAGAAAGCTTCACTGGCTGCCCCACCCAGCCCAATTTCCCTTCTGTGCTTCTGCCTGTTTCAAGCCCCTGTCCAGCCCCACCCTTTCCTGAACAGAGAAAAGGGAGAACAAAGAAAAAGAATCCTTCCACAAACTGACTCCAGTTTCCCATCCAACCCCCACACACATTGTCTAAGGTCATCTCACAACTTATGGATTCTAGAACTGGTCTCTAGTTTTGAGCCTAAGAGAAGTTAAAGTCCTGCTCAGGAGCATACTGGCCAGTAGTCAAGACCCCTATGGACTCCCAAGGATCCAGGTTCCCTTGTCCAGCCTCCTCCTCCAAACACACATGGTATACATACCCCAGAACAGCTCCAACCCTGGTAACCTTGTCCATTTTTCACCCCCACGATCAGCCTGCCATCTACTGTTGCCCCTACTCACCATCAGGAGGCATAGGAGGTGCTGGAGTGAAGTGGGTCCCAGGTTTGTCTGGAAAAAACAAAAGAAAAGTTAGGCCCCTCTGAACAGGTACTCTGCCCACTCATACCTAATTTCTCTGCTCCAGTTACAATCATCAAGGCTGGGAAAGTCACTGGCCAAGACTGAAGACTTAAGTATAAGTGTAAAAGGCTCTTGCCTTTTCTCTACATCTCTAGCTTAATGGCCAACTGCTTTTCCCAAATGAGTCCAACCTTTGCCTGTTTCCAACCCCAATACAGATACCCCCTTGCTAACTCCCTAAGAGCAGATCAGGATGAGGGTCAGCACCACTAGGAGCACAAACGCAGGTCTCAAGGGGCTTACGAATCTAGAATGGTCCAGAGATGGCCCATCTAAGTGACACTACAGCCCCCTGACTCGTTTAACCCTGCCTGCCCTGAAATCCTTGGCAGCTGAGATGAAGGGCTCATCAAGCAGAACAGACCCACACCCAGCAGCCACGTACAGTTGCTAAGGAAGAGCAGCACTGCAAAACCCAGCGTAGAAGTAGCCAACAGGATCAAGCAGATGTTGCAGGGGATCATGAAGTACCGAACCAGCAAGGAGGCACCAGGCTGCTGCCCGGGGCTGCGTTCCAGTGGCAGTGGAGGCATGGTACAGCTCCAGCCCACTTCCTGGGTATGGGAGTCCTTATGGAGTGCCCTTAGGCCTCTTCGGGGCTACGCTCCCCATGCTGGGTGCCCTGAGGCAGCAGATGGCAGCGGTGCTCTCAAAGTTTAGCCAGTCATGGCCTGGAGGGCACTAGACCCTCCCCAGACATCCAGTCCCATGGTGGGAGATATGCAGAATTCTCTCGAAGTAGAAATCCCCAATGTGGACTCAGAAGCAGGCAAAGGATGACGAAGAGCCAGGGCAACCCGTTAGCCTCAATCCTTCCGCCCACCAGCCGGCGCTGTTCTTTGTAGCCCCTGGAGTCCGCACTGCAGGAGAGGCGGCAGGGACCAGGGATGCGGGCGTGGGGCCTGTCTGCTCTAGCCTAGCAGAGGCGGGAGGAGCACGATGGCAGCGGCGGGAGGAGCAACGGCATTGGAGAGAATAAAGAGCGGGTTGCGGAGGCGCCTGCCCACCTCCTCTAGCAGTAGCAGCAGCAGCAGCAGCAGGAGGAGGAGGAGGAGGAGGAGGACCAGGAGCAGGAGCAGCAGCAGCAGCAGCAGCAGCAGCAGCAGCACCAGCTCCCCTTGTCCTCGCTAGGCTGGGGCGGTGAGTGAGGGGAGAAGGGAGCTGTGGGGGCGGAGGCAGTAAGCAGAGACAAAGAAAGATGTCTCTGGGGACCCCATCTTCCACAGGGAGTGGGAGTAAAAGAGACTGGGGTGGATGAAGGCGAAGAGGGCAAGACATACAAAAGGGACAGAGCAGCTGGGATCAGAGTGGGTGTGGGGTGATACTGGAATGGGGGCAGACCAAGGGAGGGGCAGGTGGTGGGAGGGCAATGGCACTCGAAATCGGCTGTGCCAAGGGAGGGTCAGGAGTGGGTAAGGTGCTGTGTTGGGGTAGGGGAGGAGAGGTTGGGCCTGGAGAGGCAGGTGCTTGGCCCCCACCCCACAGGGGCAGTGAAGGGAGGCAAGCCAAGTGGGAGGGGCAGCTGAGGCTGTGATATATGCAGAGGCTGTCCTTTTCCCCTATCACCCTTAGCAGGCTGGGCTAATGCCCTGCTGGGCTGAAAGATTGGTGAGTCACCACAGAGGACTTGGGCCTACAGGAAGGACTTAGCTCTGGGGTTCAATTGTTGTGTGCTTATGCATGCCATTGTGTATGTGCTTGTGTTTCTGTTCTGCTGACTCTACTCTGGTGTGGAGGGGGGATCCCCAAGTGGCATTTAAGGTCCTCAGGTAGAGTACAAGCTAGAGAGTGAGATGATAGGTCCAGAAATCATCTCACCTACCTTTCCTTTAGTAAATAACACCAACACCTCAAAATCACCCATTCACTTAACTTCCCTGAAGCGAGAACACATGCCAATGAGTCCCATGCAAAGTTCCACCATCCCTTGAATCTGAGCCTTGACTACCCTCTAGAAGCCACTTTGCAAACTCCACTTGGGGCAATCACAGGAAGGGAGCAGAGGGATTGGGATGCAGGCCAAGTCCACCTGGGATCCCTATTCAGTAATTAGACATCTCTACCTGGGTTCTGTGAGGTAGCCCCTTTTCCTGGCCTCTGTTAGGAAAGGTTCCTAGCTCTCCACAAGCTTGGAGGGGATGGAATTCTGCATTGTTCTATCTGACATACCCAACCTCCTGCTGACCCTCCTCCACCTCAGCTGAAATCACACTAATAGCCCTCCATACCACAAACTTGGTTATACCAACAGGCACACAGTACTCAAAATTCAGGTTCTAGTCAGGCCTCTGCATCTGCCATCAGCAAGTCCCCCCTTTTAGTCACCTATGGTCACTCAGTCCATCTTGGGAAAGCCACACCTCTCTACCAGAGGCCCTTGGCTTAGGTCTGTGGGGCGCCTCTGCTCTGTCCTTCGGAGAGCCCTTCCTGGGGCCCTAAGACTCTACACTCACTGCACACTGGCTAGAAATGGCCCCACTGCCACACGACCTTTAGATAAACCCACTCCAAAGTCCCCTGGTACCCCCACTGTGCCCATTCCTTCCTGATTCATCAAGACAAGCTCTTCTTTAAACCCCCATATCCCACCTCAGCTATATTGGATATTCATATCCAGCTTCTCTGCCCCATTCCTTTCCATTCTATGGTTAGGCATGAAGTGCCACATCCCACTGGAGTCACCCCTGCCTCACAGGTCCTCCATCTTTTGTGGCCCCAAGCTCACTCTTCTAATGAAATCTTGCAGGAAACTCTAAAATAATGTGGGGTTCTAGCTGGGTGTGGTGGCATATGCCTTTAATCCCAGCACTCAGGAAGCAGAGGCAAGTGGATCTCTGTGAGATTGAGACTAGCCTGGTCTACATAGTGAATTCCAGGCCAGCTGGGGTTACAGGAAGACCCCATCTCAAAAAGACCAAATAAATAAATAAAAATAAAGTGGGGTTCTAAGCACTATACTTGAAGTCTAGGGCAACAATACATCTTATCACTGGGGGACTCCACTCTTAGCTGACCTCACCTTTCCTCAGGGGAGCTCTGGCCCCAAATGCATCCTACTGGACCTTGGCACTGCCCACAGCACACAAATAGCTCCCCTAGCACCAGGGAGAGGGTCTAAGCGATTACCTCCCAGGACAGGGCTTGGCTCAGACAGAGCCTAGAAAGCCAAGAGGACTTAAAACTGGGAAGCTCAGTGCAGCTCATCTTTTATTTGCCTCACTGCCCCACAGAAAAAGTACCTTAGGCAACACCCAGCAGACCACATGATGCTATTGGATGCTGTTTCAGTCCTGGAATATTCCAATGTACACTACAGGAAGCATAGAAACCAGGATCTGGGAGTCCGGGAGTCCTGGGTAAGAGCTTGAAGAGGCTTCAAGTGCTCCTGGGTAATTTGCTGCAACCTCCTCCTACCCCATACCACCAAGCAGAGATCCTAAGATCTGCTACTGAAGAGTTCTCAGTAGGTTAGTTTTTTTAGTGCTTATATGGGGTCCCTAGTCAACCCAGGGCAACACTGAAATGGTGTTTGAGGTCCATTGGGCCCAGCCTGCCTGGCTCTACCAAACCCCAGTCAGTGTCTGAGCCCCCTGCAGGGCAGGATGCCTTCAAAAGACAAAGGGCCTTTGAGGTTCCAGGCCAGTGGGGGGAGGGGAGCAGACTACTGGAGTTATTTTGGGATTTTTAGACAAAATCATTCAGCCTTTATGGCCCCCACAGGCTCATGCCCAAGAATGAGCACGATCCTGTGCCAGGCTCACCCCTCTGGTCTCTGGGCTCACAACCCTACCGACAATGCGACTGCATATGTGAGCTCACACACTATGTATTCCTGCTCTCTCCAGGAGTCATTCAAACTTGTAGGCATTGTTACATACCCCCACCTGCCAGCACACATACTAGGCATTCTTTGAGCAACACAAAGCTTGTCCCTCACTCCCAAGCATTATGGGTGTGTTCCTATGCTTGGCTGGGAATCTCCAGGCACTACTCTGGACCTAGGATGGGGGGATGGGGCCTGAGGAGGGTGCAGAGTCTAGCCATTGTCGGCTCACTGCCCCTTGCGCATGCAGATGACTCCTCCTCCCTTTCCAAATAGGCTTCAGCTTCCTAAGAAAGGACTATAGAGAGGTGGGGGTGGGGTGGTTCAGAGGAGCCCACTAAAGCTGCCTTTCTGGACATTCGACATGCACTGCACATGCACACACTCATCTTCCAAAGCATGGGCCTCACCCGGCCTGTAGAGGTGCCATGCCCTCTGATCTCTGATCAAGCCAGGGGTGAGGCTCACCCGCCCTCTTTGACAGTAATTTCTAAGCATGCACTACACAGGTTACTAGAGCTGGCTACCCTGGTGGAGGTAGGGCAGAGCTCCTCTCCATCCTCTGACCTCCTAGTGTCTGGTCGTAAACTGCACCTGGCCATTCCTCTTTTTTCTCCCCCTTGGCCTTAAGACAATAGGCACTCCACAGCAGGACAGTTGTGCTGGGCAGGGACAACTGCCAGCATGAGGCAACTTCCAAGGCTCCTCTAGTCAGCCTCAGGCCCAGGTCAGACCTATGTCCAACCATCTGGACCTCTGGCCTTTGACAGCTTGCTCGGCAGGGTGATTGGATTAAATGAAAATTTTGGGTACAAAGGGCTGGCTCATAGGAGAGCCAGCATGCTGCCAGACTGCCCCTTTACTATCCCTTGGCTGGCTAGGGCCCCTCAACCTATGGCTGCTCCCCCATACCAATCAACTGGACTATGCCTTCCTGAGCACTAGAGCAGCTTAGTACATCTCATCTATCTGGCCTTAGAGAGACACTGGCAGTTTCAAATGAAAGTCGAATGGGTGAAGTGAAGCTTGCACATAACTAAGTGATGGGTAGGGCCAGGGTTTTAACAGGGTCAGAGCCTAAAAGGTAGATCTGGGTAGCTCCATC